TTAGAAATCATGCCATTTATAAAATTAGGAAAAAAATTTGAATTTGAAATATTGCTTTATTCATATGGTATGAACCAAATTGTATTATTCGATGTTTAAAATATTGTCTAATTTAATTATGTGATTAATCAATTGAATATGTTTAATTTTTATATTTTAATCGTATTGTATAAACTGGATCATACTGTACAATTGATAGAGATTATATTTGGTTGTCCCAAGATTCATCATGGATGAATTGTAATTTTGTTGAACTAATCGTATTGTACGAGTGTTTAGTTGTACAAATAATCATACATCACTAAATGGCAAAAATGAATTGATCTTACTATATGACTGTTAATTCGTACTAATGGTCGTACAATACTAACAAGTAAAATTCTGTACATCATATTAGATGATCTTGTGATCGTGTTGTACGAACTTTGATAGTTGAATTGAATTTTTAGGGTATTTTCAAACCCTCTCTTTAAGCTTTCTCTTAAGACTTTGTAATAGTCTTTTTGGCATTCATTGAGGTGCTTTCTTCTGAAGAAATCTTTAAGAGAGAGGCTAGAGCTTGGGAGAGAAAGGCTGAAGTTTGTGAGAGAGGGAGAAGATCCTTGTGAGTTTCAAGGGAGAGTGAGAGGGAATTCCACACAATTACTTTGACAAACTTGCACATGAGTTCCTGCATGTGTCAAGGTTTTTCTTGAGGTAAGCTTTGGGAAGAAGATCTATTTGGTGTCCAAGGATCCAGCTACGCCACCGCACCTAGGTAGTTGAAAATGATTTCATGTTCTCTAGCTTCACCAAGAGGGTGAAAAAGTATTATAGGTTCTCTACCTTCACTAGAAGGATGAAAAAGGATTCTATGTTCTTTTCCTTCATGAGGAGGTTGAAAAAAGATTTGAGGTCCTCTGTCGCACTAAGTTGGTGGAAAAGATTTTGTAAGGGATTCGTCATTAGTTATGGGGGCAAAAGGAGAGTCCCTAAAGGGTTTAGTGTAATACTCATAGAGGAGGACTCCGGAGAGTGGACATAGGTCATGGCTTTATTGAAATACTATATAATTTTTGTATGCTCATTCTAATTTTATTTTCTGATTTTTATTTTTCTATATTTTATTTATTTGTTAATTGCTTGGTTGAAAATCTATGATAGATATTATGTTGTGTTAATCAGACTATCTTCTCCATCTTTGTAACTCTTAATAAGTATATTAGCTTTCGTATAAAGTAATAGTATTATTTTTGTATTAGTGTGCCTCGTGCTAGTTCATTGTGGTCTTACAACATCGTCAAACTTTTATAGTTTTATCATTTGTAAACTGAATGAGGTAATTCAACATCACCCATCACATCCATAGCTTCAAAAATACTAAATTTAATTTCTACTACATCACCTTATTTTCTTGGTAGCTCATGCTCATATGGAAGAAGGCGAATTGAATGTTTCCATCCTTCAATTCCTTAATGGTGAAGATATTTTAGAATAATATGAGACTCCACTTAAATTTTTTATTTGTACAGATAAGAGAGGAAAATCATCTCTCACTATAAGTTTAGCAATATATACACATGCATGAAACGATATATCTTTAAGATCTCAGCAAGTTTCAGAAAATAAGAAACAAAAAGATAATTTTTAATGGTCATTATGGAACCATATCTCATCTTTATAATAGTGTTTTAAGGTGTTTATCTCCTTTGGCAACTCAAATTATCATGTTAGATTTTTTGTAGCATTACAAAAGAATATCATATCAATGAACATCTTTGTCTACATAGGGTCTTGGTTTGCTCATGCTCGATGATAGCCTTGTGGCATCTCCTTAAAGCTACAATCACATATAAACACTTTTGCTAACCAAGGAAGAAAGAACTAAGAAAAAAATAGACACTAATAAAATCAAGTGAAGGTACAGCGCCCCACCTATAAAATGACGGGAATTTATATGAAAATTAAGGGCTCAAAAACTATGGCTTGATTCATATTCATCACTAATATAGAAAATCTCACATCTCTCATGTTCTCTCATAATTATAAAACAATTATATCATACTTAACTCACATACCCAACAAAGTAACATCATCAAAAAAACAAATTGAAGAGTTACCGTTAACTAAAACAAGAGGAGTCACCACAGATAAAGATCCATTATAATTGAATTATGAAGAGTTATTATAATTGAACTCTGAAGAGTCATCACAAATAAGATTAACAAAAAAAACTACAAGCAAAATAGGAAAAAAAAAGTATGACATAAACATAGATGAAAAGTAATTTTTATTACTATTTTCATAATATTTTTTTATAATCATAATTTAATATTAGTGAGATTATACCACTAATTCCCTAGGAATAATTTATATATATTATCCAAAAGTAGGTTAGAAGACAATCCACCTCTCTCCACTAAGTTGCAAAAAATGAAGTGACCTCTTTAAAAGAATTGGCTTAACTATAACATCTCCAAAACATTGAGAGTTGATAACACCTTAGATTTTAGGTTTGACACCTCCCTGAGCAATATAGTAACATCATCACTTGCAAGATCTTCCTCTAAGGCTTGGTCAGACTTACTCAAGCCTCCAAGAGAGATGGTCTTGTTGAAGAGATCTTAGCATCTTGGAGGCTAGGTAGAGTGGGATACTCTTAGTCTATTTGTGTCGAAAATGAATGAGTGATCGGGAGTTCTTAGGTAAGAGAGTGTTACACTTACTTCCTTACAGACTCTATCATTATAAGCTTGAGAGGGTACTCCTATAGAGGACTTCATCTATTGGGCAATTATTTCTTGCACCATTGGAGTCGTCTATACAATAAGAAGTGAAGGATCAAGAAGAAGCAATTATTTATATAATAATACAAGCTAAGGGGAACCTAAAGCAATCATTGATGGAGATTGTGAATTTTCATATACAATACAAGCTCCCATTGAGTTAGGGTAGTGCAACAAACTCATTCAACAAGTATCCTAAAAACTCTTGCAAGGTCTGATTGATCTTAGGCTCACTAAAGATTGGCAACAAAAAAATCCTTAATATAACTTTTTCACAAAAAAAGAAGCCACCCAACTTCCTTTTTTAATGGAATCATGGCTAACTAGTTGTTTCCCTTGAGATCGAGTAGATGTTGTTGGTTTGAATACCATAGGAGCAGAGTTGAACACCTTAGAAATAACTCTCTACATTGTTAAGAACTAATGAGCTTATTGTACTATAGAGTTTCATCTAGGGTGACTTTCAATAAGGTGTACATCATAAAAATTTAAAGAAGAGACCAACCTCACCTTACTTTGCTCAACCTTCACCGCCTTACTCATCTCACCCTTTTCACCATATATGTCTCAACCATTATCTCCTTCTTCTTCTTTTTAATAACATGGAGAAACTATTTCCCTTAAACCTACACCACCTTGCATTTATAAAGAAGGGCTTTCAATCATTTACAGCCATCCACATTAGCTTACTCCACAAGGTTGAACTTAACCATCTCTTAAATGAGATGAAGAACTCAATAAATGCAAACGAAAAGAAAGTGTGTTGTTGTATTAATACCCTTTGCGACTATTTTTAGTTAAAGATGAAATAAGTAAAATCAATGTCATTATGAAAATCTTTGATGAAGCTTGAGAAAATGGTAAAACATAGCAGTAATTTTCATTTACTTTCCCTTTTTTTTTGATGAAGGTATTAAAAACTTTTATTCTTACTTATCATTATTAATAACTTGCTCTTCAAAAAGTGAGTAAATTAAGGAACTAATTGCATGTCTATGTATGCTCATAAAGGTAATTTATAGGCACTTAAAAATGTATGTGCTTGAGGAATGTGACAAGGAGGAGCACTAACCAAAACTAACCCTTACCCTAAAGGGAAATCCCAAGAATTGGTTTGTAATTAAGTAATTATCATCCCAATGGAGTTCACAATTTATGATTTTTCCCTTGGAGGATCAAATCGTAGATACACTTATTTCGAATGAGTTTGGCTAGAGAACTCTCTTTAACAAGCCTTTACCATAAGAGCACTTTACCCAATGAGGACTAAACTTTTTCATCAATTTTCCTCAGCTAAGGTCATCCTTCTTTCAGAGATATCTCAATCCATATTATAAGAGGAACACACAAAAAATGCACATTGTAATGGTTTTATTGACTACATTTTCCCTTTGCTCACAAACACGCTCACCTGGGATACCCGTCATTTATCTCAAGGGACTCAACGCACATTGAAGGAGACTCACTTGCATAAACTAGCTCAAGTTCACATTTCTTAAGACTCGCCTAAGGCACTCACTCTCGAGGACTTACTCTAGAGACTATTGATGGACATCTCGTGCCACATCGTAAATAGAGGACAATGTATTACCCTTTAGCCTAACTCAGATATCTCTATCAATCCATACTTGTTGTCCTTTTTTTTTTAAGGTATAACATTTCATTTATCCCTTTACTCCCTATAAATAAAAAGCTAAGAGGCATATTTTTTACATCTTATCAATTTTTATTATTCACAAAGATCACATAAACTTCCCATATACTTTTGGGACACACTAATTCCCTCAAATTATAATCTTGCTCTAGCCAGCTAAATTTGCAAGTAAAAGTAGGTGTTCCTTAGAGATAAATTTGAATTCAGTATATATATATATATATATAACATTAAAAATAAAATTACTTTTTAAAGCTATATAGATCTAAATGGCGCTAAAAAATTAATTCAAAATTTTAGCTTCTTTTAATGGTGCACGCATCCATGTTAGGTGGCCTGGCGTCTTTCACAATAAAACCTCTTCAAATCCCTTTGTACTCCAATCTTCTTTATCCATAGAAGTCACGTCAGGTTCTTCTCCCATTACAAACTTAACCCTAAAACAAATTCTTCTCTTGCATAAACTACCGTTTAAAGAAAGTCACCCCGAAGTGCGAGCAAATTCCTCACGGGTTTACCGTAATGTTCTCTCCTTTCTGGGATTTAAACTCTGTCCTGTCATGGGGAAGAAAAATGTTGCATTGAAGCGTTTCTATTGCTTCTCTACCAAGCCCCAATTCGCTACAAAAAGCGTAGTCGGGTAAACTTGAAGGAGACAACTATGGAAACCCAAACTCCGTTAATATGTTGTTTTCCGGTCTTCTTCGCTCTGTTCTCTGTTGTATACATAATCGGTTACTTTCTGGTATTCCGATCGTGGAACCGTAAGCAGCGTCTAGACGCATCGAGCTGCTTGATTTCCCTGGCTCACGGAACCCCTGCTGTGTTCTTAGCAATCTTCGCACTTCTTTCCAAACCCTCCTCCTTCGCCTCCCCAAATTCCAATTTGCAAAATCTTGTCCTCGATTTCAGCATTGCCTACTTCGCCGTCGATCTCCTCCACCTGTCCATCTTCTTCCCTGGTGATTTCCTCTTCATCGCCCATCACCTTGCCACACTCTTTGTGTTTGTTACTTGCAGGTACCTTGCTCTACATGGCGCCTTCTCAATTTTGGTTCTTTTGGTTCTCGCTGAGGTAACCAGCGCTTTCCAGAATATCTGGACACTTGCTGGGCTCCGCAGAGAAGAGTTTCTCATGGCCGAAACTGTCTACAGAACCTTGTCACCACCATTCTTTGCTTTGTATTCGATCATGAGGGGATTGTTTGGGCCGCTGTTCTTCTTAAAGATGAGCATATTTTACTTGAGTGGTGAGGCGGATGACGTGATTTCCAGGTGGATTTTTGTTTCTTGGATTGCTGTGGTTGGTGGAGCTATATTGGTTAGCATCTTATGGGTATCAAATTTATGGATGGAGCTGTTCAGGGAAATGAAGAAGGCCAATTATACGAAAGAGAAATAGTTCTATGGTTATAAGAAAATGAGACCAGTAAGAACTGAAACAGATTGATACTACAGGTGTTAGCCAAAATCTACAGTATTATGAGTTGCTGCTCCCTTATCTAAATAGAATGTGTCCTGATTTATTCCAAATGCATAAATTATTTTTCAACTTCTTAATATATTTATACAATTCATTAATATTTTTGTTTTCTGTATGTGATAAGCAATTCATTCATTCTCCCTTTCTTTATATATATATATTTTGGCATCTCGAGTTGATTGTTTGATAGTCTGTGATGTGTGATGTGTGATGTGTGATGTGTAGCTTTCTTAAAATAGAATTATTACGGTTGTATGGTTTTTCTTTGAACCGTTTTGATGTATTATTAATGGTATTTTATGGTGAAGACAACAACGTGATTGGTGTCATCTTATGGTGGTGATTGAATGGTTATTCGGGGGCGGAGAAACTGGAATTTTTAGTTTTGGCCATATTTAAGTCTGAAACTTTCAAGCTAAAAAATGATTGGTTTTTCTTAGAGAGAAATAATGGAAAACTCTTGATCAAACTTTGGATATTAGATAACTAATGTTGTGTTTTTATTGATTTTAAATCAGTGTTTGAGAAGTTATTAAATTTTGTAATTTGGTTGATCACAACAGAAAATTTTCTTTTTATATTTGAGCTTTGGCTATAGTATATTAAAGTTTTTATGGATTTGAGATAGTGGACGGGTATGAGAGATGCATGGGTCTATTTATGAGAGTTTTGAAGAGTATGGATATTTTGGAGGTTATGAGATGTTTAACTTGAGGCTAAGTTGAGAAGATAAAAATTAGGTTGAGAAAGAAGATGAATAATAACAAGAAAAGATAACAAAGGACTCACCGAAGCCATATAGAATTTGCCACCAAGCCTCATCAATGAGTGAGCAGTCATCAAACATTTTCACATAAAATTTGCACATGCAAATTATTTGTTTTTCAGTGAATCATAAGTACAAAGCAATGTCATATATATATATAAGTCTAGATAACTTTAAAAAACCTTAAGAGTCAATAAACTACTATTACATGAATTGATGACATTTCCTGATACCAAAAGAAAAAAAATAAAAGAAATTAAATTAAATTAAAAGCTTTCAAATACATAAAAATTTGGATTGGTCATTAATTACAAGTAGAGTGGTATTGAAATCAATTAATATATCAAGATATTTACATTTTTTACTTTTATAACCCACTTACCATCAATAGGCTTTAAATTATGTTTTCAAATTATTTTCTCATAAATTTAAAAGTAGTAAGGGGCGTTGATGGGTTTGTATTGATAGTTTTGCATGATAACTGACCCAAATTTTGATGATGGACCTTAGTTTGTGTTCTTGTTATTGGTCTTTATCTTGGTACTACTTCAACTCCATTGAACCTTAAAGAACTCTGCTTTGTAGAGTTAAACTTCATGTATTCATCAACAAGAACCAGCATAAGTTTCTTTATATGTTCTTTATTCATCAAAGTACCCTCAGAAGAAGGTTAATTTTTCCTTCTAACCAAGGATCTAGGTGATGAACCTTTTATCATAAAGAGTTATGAAATGATGTCTTAAATATCCAATAATTTTTGGAAACGAGGAGCCTGTAAATTTTGACTTGTGTCTCATGCAATAAGGTTCTCTTGCAAATTTTAAACCTTAATAATTTCTTGATAAGGAAGTATATCTTCAATATTAAAAACCTAATTTATATACATGTTAGAACGTAATTTAAGGAGATAAACATTTGATCCATGTTTCTTAAGAATTTTGAATGGGTCACAAGCCTTAGCATAAGCTTATTAAATTTAGTGGGGTAACGCTCTGGGTGAATTCAAATTGAGACATATTCACCTTCGTTATATTGTTTAGTTGAAAAATTTTTTTTATTGCATTCTCATATTTATTATTACTTAATTTGATTTGCTTTTTTACTTGTTCATGTAGATTATTAAAATTTTGTGCAAAAGTGAATGCAACATAAAAAAATGAATGATGGGAATATCTACCAGATTAATTAGTTTTTTTGGTTTATAACCATATATAACTTCAAAAGCTATTTTTTGGTTTTTCTAAAAATAGTGTTAAACACTTTAGCAAGTTTCATAGGATTCTATTAACTTCTTTTTGACCACCTATTTGGGGTTGAAATGTAGATAAAAATTTTAATTGTGTTTTAAATATTTTCCATAGAGTTTACCAAAAATATCAAATAAATCTAATATCACTATTTGAAACTTTTATGGATGGTAACTTATGTAGTCTAACAATTTCCTTAATGAAAAATTTGGCTGTGGCAGGCATCATTAGTTTCTGAACATAATAAGAAATAAGTCATTAAGATAACCGATCAACAATCACAAAAATACTATCTTCTCCATGAGGAGTTCTTAACAAACATAAAATGAAGTCCATGGAAAGGTCCTTCCATGGTTGATATGGGATGGGAAGGGTAGTATAATATAATCAGGACATATGATATAATCATCTTTTATCCTTGCAAATTCAAGAATTTGTGATTCTTAAGAGGAGATGATTAAATTGACTTCTGATAAGGCATATGTAGTTTTATTTTTCATACTTAATTTGTGTTTAAAAATTAAATAGTATTCTAATAAAAATCCTACCCATTTTGCATGTTTATTATAAAGTTTTCTTTTAGTGTTGATAAACCTAAGGTCAATATGGCCTCATTAAACTATATATTCATTATGTAATAGATAATTTGCCAAATGTTCAAGGGATTTGATATTGGCTTAAAATTCTATATTATAGGTGAAGTAGCATTGCTTTGCCTTATTTAATTTTCATTAAAATAAGCAACGAGGTGGTTGTCTTGATTGTGCATTCCATCTATGTTGATCCCAAAGGCATCACATGAGACTTCAAAGGGCATGGTAAAGTTAGGAAATCGAAGGATAGGTGAAGAGGTCATCAATATTTTAATCAATCTTTGGTTGCATTAGTTGTCAAAAAAGTGTACCCTTTCTAAGAAAATCCATGATTGGGACCATGACAGAGCTAAAATCCTTAATAAACCTCTGATAAAATTTGGCCAGTCCATGAAAACTTCTAACATTAGATAATGATATTGGCAATGAAAACTCTATAATTGATTTGATTTTTTCTAGGCCAGGTTGGAGTCCATTTGCAAAAGTTATTAACCCTAGGAATCTAACTTCTTTTAGAAGGGAGAAATATTTTCCTATATTAATGCAAAGTTTTTTGGCTCTTAAGATTTTTTTAAAAAAAATTAAATATGTCATTAATGTGATTTCTCATCCATGTTATAAATTAAAATATCATTAGAATAAACCACCAAGAATTTTCCTATGAATGGTTTAAATTTTTTAGTTATCAATCTTGTGAACTAAACCAAACTAGTTCATATAAGCCATTTGGTGTCTTAAAAACAATCTTTCATTTATAGCCAACTCTTATCCTAATTTTATACTATCCACTTCTAAGATATATTTTGGAGAAAATAATTGACCCAAAATTAAGATCAAGTATGTTATCTAGTGTAAGGACGGGGAACCTATGCATGATTGTAATCTTATTTATGGCATGACTATCTATACATATTCTCCAAGATCCATCCTTTTTTGGCGTTGAACGAGTTGGGACAACACAAGGATTAAAACATTTTGTAAGAAACCCTTCTTAAGGAGTTAATTCACTTGATGTTCTAATTCTATATGTTTAGTGGGGCTAATCATATAATGGGGGTTCTTAGGTAATTATGAACATGGGGTAAATTCAATGACAAGTTGGATGTCTCTCATTGGATGTAGCTCATTAGGTAATTCATTAGGAGTCATATCAAAAGCTTCATAATGGGGATTAGAGATGTCATCAGTTATGTGAATCTCTAAAGGAGTAGGAGAAATCTCCTTAACATGTAATAAATATAGTGTGACATTTAGACAAACTTCATTTCTCAACATTTTAAACCCTAATTTTTTAATATGAACCATAGTAAGTTAGTCTGGCAAGCTTCATAGGCCATAATATAGGAGGAAGTTGTGGGGATTAGTAACTAAAAGCTAAATTTTAGTTGTTTTCTTACTCACAATTTTTAGGTTAGAAGAGATTTTATGAGGAGCAAGTTATTGTCCTCTTTTTTTTGTATGAGGTCATCAGGACCTATTTAGACTTCTACCTATTGATATGATGATTGGAAAGCATCCGTTTGTCAATAATCCAAAGTTCAATTCAAATCTCAATCCATGCTTGAATTTAATCTTAAAACCAAATTTCAATTCAATCTTAAACCCATACTTCAATTCAATTTTAAACCCTGACTTCAGTTCAATCCTTAATCCAGACCCTAATCTAAACATTGATCAAATCCTTAATCCAAACATTAATCCATACCTCATTCTAGACTTTAATCGCCCATGACTTCAATTAATTCACACTTCAATTAATCCAGACCTTAATCAATCCAGACTTCAATCAATTTAAGCTTTGAATTAATCTAGACTTCAATCAATTTAAGCTTTGAAGAAATCCAGACTTCAATCCAAACTTTAATCAATGAAAAAGACACTCAATCTAGACTTCAATCAAAAGAAGCATCAAATCATTCTAGATTTAAATCCAAACTTTAATCAATCGAGACTTCGATCAATTCAACCTTCAATTAATCCATACTTTAATCAATTTAACCTTCAATCAATATAGACTTCAAGAAATTTAACCTTTAATCAGTTCAAACTTTAATCAATCCAAGTTTTAATCTAGACCTTAATCAATTCCATACCAAAATCCTTGCTGAAAGGTCTATGTCTTGAAACCCTTTTTGAGTGATTTTTCAATCACTTCAAAACCCAGTCAAATGACCTTTGAATCATGATCTATCAATTAATTTTTGACTAGGCATATCCCTAAGGTCAACCCTCCAAATTTGAGCCCAATCTTAGACTTCTAGTCCCAAGAACTAAATTTATTTCCTAATGTTATAAAACTTTCAAATATTTATAACCTATATCACTAGACCTTTCACTTTGTGGAATCTGACCTTGGGACATTTTCCAAGACCTTTGACCATTTCCATAACTTTGTTGTGGTATTTTGAGTATTAAACTTCATTTTAGTGGACCCAATTTGACCCCCCAATTGACTAGGGTTAAAATGACTAAAATACCCCTTAAGGGAAAATTTGAAGTTTCA